CATGCTTCTGCCTCAGCACATTGCCGTCGTCGTTGGCTTTCACGATGAGATAAATTCCCCGTCGTCGTAGAACGTCTTTTCCTGAAAAGCAGCAATCAATAATGAATCGTGTCATCTGTCATCGCACCGACCATCTCTGTTCTCACCTGGATAGAAGTGGTCATCGTCAGCAGCCCAATTCTCACCGAAGACAGCCTCTTCGGTTTTCCATCGGGCATCCAGAGGGGAGTAGAGGTAATGAACACCACGAACAATTTGAAAGTTGAGAAAAATACCCGTAGAAAGCATGATTGTCACCAAAGACGGCACAATTATGAATGGCCATGGGTGCCTGGAAATGCCTGCGATTCACATAATTTAGTTTTTATTTTAGGTATTATTTAGAATTTAAAGGCTGTGGGAGACAGTGGCTTTTCTTGCTAATTTTTGGACATACTTTTCTCCCGTGGTCATGCGTACCGTAGTTGTGGACTCGGTGGTGGGTGTCCGACAAGAGGCCCGTCGCGCGGCAAGAAGGCAGAGTCAGCGGACGAGTCGCAGCGCGTACTGTAGTGATTTCGCGTCAAGTTAAATAGAATGTACCATTGTACGTCCTACATCACAGCACGCTGCGACTCGTCCGCTGACTCTGCCTTCTTGCCGCGCGACAGGGCCTTCTTTCGGGTACTCCTCAGTAGTAGACGATCTCGGAGAAAATCGATGTCAAATTTGGTACGCTTTTGAGTCATCAGATAACATTAAAGGCATCGGAAAGCACGGCGATACCGATTTTTGGCGACCACGCGTGCACTCATCTCTGAAAATGGAGGTTGGGGGGGGGGGGCACGCCATGTTATCTTGTCTTTAGAACTGGAAACCACTTCTTTGAGCTCTTCACGATAAGGATGATAGGAAGTAAACAACTCATTGAAGTGTATTTTTAATAAGCACCGGTGAGTATCCTATTTTCCACATACCCTGCTCACATCATATAATTTTTTGCATCTGGTCATCCACCCTGGAGCTCCTCTACCCTTTGCACAGGCGAATATGCTCGTGTCTTAGGTTCAGGACCGTTTCTCTGGACAATTTAAGGCTGAAATGTGGTAGCATCTCGAGATTGCTTCTGCACTACACCTTACCTATCAGGAGTACTGTGAAGTTTGAATGAGTCGATACGTGTAGTGTGCTGTTTTCTCTTTCTTATGGTTAGTGTAGGGAGCTCACTCGAAGACCCCCCCCCACACCCAGTTTCATCCTGCTATCATGAGTTAAGGACGGATGCAGGAAACAATTTTGCGTGTTCAAAATTCGGTAATTCAGCCCCTTCAATGGTAGGATAGCGGCTTTTGAAGCCGTTCAGAAACAGCTACAATATTGCTTTTAGCTACGTCATTCGAAGTTGGTAACTATCGTGAGAACGACGAAATCGCAAGAGAGTCAATGAGCTGCTTGCTTATTTCAATCTTCTCCCAGTTTAGCGGTGCTCTTCTATTTGTACTAAGCCATCTGGAAGTTTCAACGATGCAGAGGGTCGTTGCGATACTAATGGAATGCGTTCTGAGTTCTGGAATGAGCTTAGAACATTATTACAATTCTGAATGTAGCACATGCGTGCTCCCTGAAGATGCTTTTGAATGAGGTGGGAAGCAGGGTGAATATCGGTCGAGGAAATCCTCGACAGGGGGGTCGTACCTGTTGGGCTGGTCCATGGGGGGTCGTACTCTTGGGGTCAGTAACAGAAGTGGTATCATGGTGCAGATAGGTAATAGGGTATAGCGCAGCAGAAAATGAAAACATCCGAAAAAAACATGATATTAAATTTTCTTTGCAGGTTCAGTCGCTCCATTCCTCCACCTTCATGAGAAGGGCGTATTTGAAGGCAGTACAAAGAATGAAAGTGCATCCCCGCAAAGAAGAGTGCCACATGTGCGCACGCGCTGCAAAGGCACCTCCTCCGCCTATCACTCGCTCCTTCTCCCTTAATACCTCGCTGAGAATGACGCTGTTGTTAGGGACCCTGTCGGAAAAACGACAACCGTGAAGAAAAAGCGCTGGGCAAATGAAGTTGTTTTTTAGGTTACAGGAATAGCACAACACACTATGTCTACTACAATACAGTTTCGTTCGAAGGTCCCCATCATATAACACCTTTCAATCGATTCTGCAACTGTGAGTGGAGGAGGGATGCATGGCTTATACCAATACCAAATCGGATGATGACGATTGCTCCTATTCTTATTGTTTGCGTTCAAAGATATTGTTCTAGACACATTCCGAGTGTTGCCAACGAGTCACACTTGCAATGGTGAATGAGGGAGCGGATTTCCAGGTGGCCGGATCCGACCTCGATAGATCCTCGACGCAATTATCTCTTCAACCAAAAAGCTGTAGAAGAAAACTAAACAGACCATCAGGAAGCGCAAACCTTCCGCTTTCCAAAACTATCTTCCCTTTTTCAGGATCTTACAATATAAGAGATATATTGCTCTTGAAGTGGCAAAAACTCGCGTGAAAATTTCGGCCTCCTCGACATTTACTCGACGAAATTTGACAGACCCTATCTTTCTGCAAGGAAGGCTTCCAGAGCAATTTCGATGCTTGTTGGAAACGCGAAATCCAGCTCTATCTAACTCTACCTCAAGCTGCTTCAAAGGTTGTGAAATGGAGGAATGCAACCTTTTCATCGAGGGTGTAGATTCGGACGTTTTTTTTTGAAATTTCGGCAAATCTGACCCAGTGACAATCGCGCCGCAGCTGCCGTTGAATCGGCCTTTGATACACTCGGCTGTTTTGATATACTCAAGCAAGAATCAAGATTGAATCGCAACCCCGTGTCTTCAGGATTTCTGTGCGTTTCTGAACGAACCTCGCCTTGAGGTCACACAAAGTTAATGCCTCTTTCCTCGAGTCGATATTTCAGTATGTACACAAAAGTATGCAGCGATGGAAGACGTGCATAGATGACAAGATGAAGCGTCCTTAGCATTATTTTGCAGAATTTTTTTTTGATTTGTTTTGCAGGATTTATTTTAATTGAATTAATTTGCTCTGTTAGAGGGGGTCGTGCCAGGATCTCGATTTCGGGGGGGGGGTCGTACCTCTGCGACCACGTACTCGACACGATTTTCACCCTGGTTGGAACGGCGACTGTTTTGATACAGCAGTCTCGCACTTCTCTCATATACTGGTCGCTTATACTTATCCTTCCATCGTCATTTCTTCAAAGGAGAGCCGAGAATGCAAACTGGAATGTCGGCCAGGCGTTTGAAATAGACCAAAGGCAATTGTAGTGTCTTCAACGCTCCACTGGCCGATATAATTGGCCACTAACGTCGGTCTGATGGACTCTGACCGTCGATGATCGTTTTCAATAGGTAAGGCTGGATCGATTGTTGCTAGGTTGCGCCATGCTTTTTTCAACTGTTCGCTATCTTAGACGACACATATCTCCAAGGTGAACATGAAAGGGCAATTCCAAAAGGATGCCTGGCTGATTTACCTTGGAAACTATCGTTATTTTCCAAGTTTAGTGACTTTGCCGCCACTTAATCCGGTCTGATTCACTATCCAATCATGGCAATGGAAGATGATGCTACCAATTTGCGTTGATCATCTCTTCTGGGAAACGTCCCATTATTCTACTCCTTTCAGAATTGGTACGGGCATTTTTGACAGCGCGATTTAGAATGCACGACTGGCGAGGATCGCGATGAAAATCAGTGTTATTTATCCGCTCTAGAACTTTCCCGAGCCGCAACTCATGCTCAAATGGGATTGAAGGCATTTAGCCCAACTCCGCACTCGACGTATGAAACAGGAGTTGACCCAGACAGCGCGTGCTGCGAACCTCCTCGCACTCCACTACACCATTTCCGCCATAGTGTGGATTATAAAAAAAAAAAAACTGGATGTCATAGGACCGAAGAATCCTGCTCACCTGGCGACAAACATGCAATACCTTGACACCAAGTCAGCCCATGGCTTTTCCAATGGTGCCCATCGGATCCTTGTAAGGACCATAAGAAAATCTGCAAGCAACAAATTAAAATCAATATTGCGTAACAATAAGTTCCATTTCCGAATATAGATTGATCATAGTTGAAAGAACGGTGCCGCGGACGATTTTGCGAATCGTGTGAATAGGCGGCGGGACATCTGGCCTTATTCGATTGTTTGCTTTTCACTGGAATCTAGAGGTTCGATGCCGCGATCCACTTCTGAAGAGTGTCCAAACTTGTGGAAGGATTTCTGTTCATTATGCCCCCTCAAGAGCAGCGGTAGAGGTGATTTCATGGAAGAGGTGTTCCATTTGTGCGCATCTTCCATAGGTGAAGTTCTGGATCTAACACTGTCTCAGGCTGGTCAAGAGCTCCATCTGCACGGGATCTTATAATTGAAACTAGGGTCGTCCAGAAGGGAAATTACCTACTTTCACACCCCTGCCTGCCCCCACAAGGTCATGCGGGAGCCAAATCGGCTTCAAATGCCATTGCAATTCAGATGGGTGGTGAAATGAGTGGCGCATCCCGAAAAGGGATGGATCGACGCTGATTGCTTTTTGCTTCTTTCTTAGACCTTATCAGAAAGGAGCATTGCTGAAAATGAGTCACTATGATAGACCGTAAAGTTGCAGCGTGAGTGAGTAGTGCAGTGGCTAGCGGCATGTCCACCATAAGATCCAATTCACGTTGAAATAATCCGTCGTACTTTTCTACTCTTACGTGTTACATCATTTGTGACCGAATTGGCAACAGGAATTGACCATAAACATGAACTCGTAGTACAACATTTGAAGTAACTGCCTAATTAGACTGACAAATCTGGATGGGAGATGAATGCATGGCGTAATTCACAAGATTGACTTAGCACATATAGCTTTGCCCTTCAAAATTGTAGACCAATCAGACCAATCAAGAAACAAGTATAAGGTCATCCATAGGGGAAATATAAATTAAGTTCCACCCGGGTGCAGGTGATCAAAGAGAAGTCCAGTGACAAATGGCAAAGCCCTCGAACGCTAAATTCTTCACATGTAGTGAACCGAAAACCTGTGGGTCAGGGTCGAGAAAAAATTGGGCGCTAATGGGGCTAAGTTGGCTGTTCGCAGGTGTCTCCCTCCGCCAAGGTACTCACTTTTCGGTCAGAGATCATCGGAGAAACCCGATTCTGCGAATCTGAACCGCCTAAAGCTGGCCTTGAACGAGTTCATCATCCAGACGGATGTTCTTCTTAACGACATGAACTGTTGCCAA